TATCAACAAGATCATTTTACAATGCATGTGATCCTCATTAATATTATTTACAGAACAGAAGTATTATTTATAATGGGTATTTTTATAATTCATGGAATACCATTATCAGCAATTATAGACTAATCAAAATCTATAAGTGGTGCTTGCTTTTCCCCCATCTTTTATATATTTGTATAGCCAATCACCAATTAATCACATTTTCGTAGAGGGATTAACATTAACTGTGTAATACTGTAATAGTAAGCTTGTTCATCACAATTACACTAATTTGGTCCCTGTAATTCTTGGTAATACAAAATGAAAATATTCACTTTGTCCAGTTTTGTTGCAGCATGCTCCATTTTGTTCAACAACCTGATGATTCTACCCAATATGTTTTCATAATTTCCTTCAATACTATAATGCAGGACATCTAGTCCTACAACTTTTATTGGTCTTGCAGATCCTTTAACATCTCCAAAAATGGAAATGTGTGACCAAAAAAACAAGATGTCATTTTGAAGCTAAGACTTTTCTCTACAAAATGACATTTTCATTTTGTTGATATGCCATGTTGTTATGGAGGAATTAAGCCTTAAAGTTTGCACAAGTTTAACAAAATTACTATGTTAATCCCCAAAGTGACGTGTTACACGCAAATTTTTTATATTAAAAATGAACGAATTGGAAGAATAAAAAAATTTGAAAGTTGTATTGCAGATCCTTTAGCACGTGACATTAATAAAGAGAGTGCACGTGACATATATATATATAATTGTTACTTTAAAAAACAGATTTAATTATCTAATAAAATCAATCATTATATTAATAATTAGAACCTATTTTTGACAACCTTCACAAAACACGTGACCGTAAAAATTTTATTGCATTTTTGATTGGGAAAATTTTCCCAAATCTGTTGCTGTGGCGCAGAAAGTTGTAGGGACTAGGTGTCCTGCACTATAGCAATGTATAATTTCCTTAGAGGTAAAAATCATCAGTGTGTTTATGTGTAATTATAATAATTTATTCAAAAATTTTTTTTTGAAAGGTGATAATGAAGTATTTGGATTTTACTTGGCAATATTAATAGTTTATATTCTCATTTATAGTTGTGACTTGTGGGTTTGTTAATTGGTCTATTTAGTAATGAGATGGTAAAAATTATAGCTGAAATCGAATTATTTTATTTACTTCCTTATTGGAGTAAAATGTGTTGGTGAGACAAATTTAATTTTGAAATGTTTTGCATTTACTAGAGTATCCGAATCAGCATGAAATATCTTATTGTATGCATAATTCTGCTTCTTTGAATCTGGCAACAGCTTTGCTTTTTGTATAATGTTTTCCTAAGCAAAGAAAGGATACATGAGTATGTATTTACAAACCAGGCAAAATGATAATTACTTACTTTGTAAAAATATAAATTTTCAAGTGCACTTCTAAGACATTTGATATTTGAGAGTTGTGCTGGAAAACTAAACATTAAACTCTCTAAACTATACATGAAGTCGAAATTAAAACCCAAAGTCAAAATGTTTTGACTTGAGGCAACTACATAGTAAAAATCAGTTTTGACCTTATTTCAACCAGATCTGCAATTAGTTTCAACTTCATGTATACTCTAAACCAAAATATAGACCATTATCCAAAAGATCAATTCCTATTATTTATTTATTTGTAATTTTTATTTAATTTTATAATAATAAAATTTTTAACACAAAAAATTTTTATGTCA